AATTGGTCAGTCGTTTATAAAGATATAAAAATTCATTTAACAGATTTTAAAAATCAATTTATTACTTATTTTCCGGAAAAGTTTCCTGACTCTGAACAGATTTGAATGTGTATTGCTCAATAGAGTGTGCATTCCTTAAATATTTATAATTTCAATGCAAAACTAATTGAATTATCGTGTGATAGATAATTAAAATTTATTTTCATTGAACGTGAATTTAGTAATTTTTGGCTTTGAAATGAAATCCAAAACTGTCTGAGAATCAGCTCTAAAGATATTATTACCATTTGCTTTATCCATATGTGCGAGATGGGATTTTTCCAATTTTTCTATCTAAAATCTAAATACTCACACAAATTAGCAGACTTGTGGCCTTAATTAAGACTTAAAGTGATCAAAATACAGCCAGAAATATCACTTCTTGTAAACAAGAAACAGGCTCATAGGTCTTTTTAATGTTTTCCTTTTTGTAGTTTTTTAACCTGAAATGTTTTTGATGTTCCAACATGTTTAATTTAAATTTTATATGTGACTAGTGTTAGTCGATTCATCAACTAAATATTTGGTAACTGCAAAGCTGGTTTTCGCTTTATTGTAGTTGCTTTGACAATAATGTTTGTTATGTATGAAATAAAAAATTATATATCCCTGACTTTTAATACCACACAATTCTAGTTTTTGAGTAATTAAAATTAGGTTGTTGATTGTTTTAACTTTTAGGTCGGACCTCCATGTCCCAAGTAGGGTCGCACTGCAAGAAGGTATGAATACCACTATTTTATATGCAGTTAGTTTTCGTTTTGCTTAAGAATCAGTTGAAGTTAGTAAAGTTTCAGCAGCGGCCGTTTCCCAATTCTTTCTATTGAAACTTATTATCACTAAGCTTCAGTAGCAAAACTATCATGTCTTCATAATTTATTCAGTGCACTACTACTTCTAATCAAAAAAAATATTTATATCTTTATCACATATATTGCAGTTTAGAATGTATTTAACATTTGAATAGTTACATTTTAAAATTAAGGAGTTTAATGTACAAAAATATCTGAATAAGTCAGCTGAAATTCACATGTACCGTTTTATTCATTCAATATGCCACCAAATTGAACAGTCAGCTACTCTTCAATATTTTTTTTGTAGCACGTTATGTATCGATTTTTATCTTAGTTTTCGGACTTCAATATTTTTTTTGTAGCAAGTTATGTATCGATTTTTATTTTAGTTTTCGGAACAATCACTTTTTAATTTCATATAGAGTGTAACACTTGATGTGGGTTTCAACTAACTCAGCAAAACCAATTACCGTTAAACTAAGGTATCAAGTTTTTTCTGCGAGGTAAACTATCGACATCAGATTAGGGAACCATTACAACGAATTCAGAATTAAAATACTGTAAACCTCACTTCTCGACAGAACTTAAACTAAAATATGCAAACATAAAATTACCAACCAACTTGGACCTAGTTTCAACAAAAAGCCTCTTTTTTAAAACTAGATATAAATTCAACATTTTTAGTCCACAGAATTCCCCAGACAGCGACAGTTTCGAAGGCATATAGGCAAGGCAGAGCGACTGCAAGTCAGACTCTTCTACTCTTATTCGTAAAATTTTACAGTTTATAGTAAAACTGCTTGCCGATCAAAACCTGCATCAATTCCGGAATGAGCGAACCTCCTGACGAAAACAGCAAAAAGGAAATAATTAAAGAACTTTTAGACTAGAAGAGAAGCACGCTAATGTGACAATCAAAATCGTAAAAACAACCTTGTATTTAGCGTAGGTATAATGAAACACTCAATCGATTTCGAGGGCAGCTAAAGGTCCCTCCTCATCAGGAGAAAGAAACTTAGAAACAAGAAAATAAAGGAGTCACAGAAACACGTGGTCCTTATCAGCACTTCACGTGGTTATAACTAGATTTTTAATCAGAGTTGCACTGGCCGCCTACTTTTACTGAGCCAGGCTATCTGATCAAGCATAAAGGACAAGAAAAAATTAGCGAAGTTAAAATAGGGAGCGAGGGGCAAATGCACCTTACGCTCAAAATCTGAACTTCAAATAATGGAAAACAACTACTGAACGGAATTTTATACCCTTTGGTAGTACCAAACGCGACGAGGTAACGCCATCTATCGGCAAAAATAACTGAATTAAGATAGTAGAATTTTAAAGGCATTAGAAACGACTGGATTGGACTTCAAATCATTAACTAAACCTGCTAAATCTTTGTGAATGTGAAAAGCCTCAAGAAAATCCAATTCACCTATGGAAGAAGCCTTTTGGATAATTTTTGCAGACCCAAAATCAAAATTATGGTTAAAAGTCCAACTATGATACGCTATTGAAGACTTGTTAATTTCGCCTTTTCTGACATAAGATTCATGTTCCTTGATACGAAACTTCAACGTTCTTTTTGTTTGGCAAATATATCTTAAACCACACTGACACGATATACTATAAATTCCCCAAGAATTCAAGACAGAAACGCAATCTTTTAGAATCGAAGGGTGAATTTTATTAATAGGGGAGAAAACCGACTTGAAAATTGAATTTCTGCTGGAGAATCCGTGAAATTTTATAGCTAACAGAAGGATAAAATGGAAGCACGAAAAGGTCATTAATATTATTTCTAACAGTGGAATGTCTTCTTTGATGGGAATCTGAAGATTTTTTTAACGGCTTTATCAATAATCACGGGAGGGAAAATCCACGGTACGGTCAATCGCAAACTGCTCTCAAAATAATTAAGTTCATTGGTAAGCAAAGATTCAGAGGAACAAACTTTAAGAAGCGCGCGCGGAATACATAATAGTAAAAAGAAGCCATTTTTTGCTTAACAGGGTGGCATGATTTGGCATGGGGTGGTAAACAAACTGCAAAGGGTTTACGGTACACAGTGGTGCTAAAATCAGTTTCATTGCGGATTATAAGAATAGTGAGAAACGGGAGGGAATTGTTGGATTCAATTTCAAGAGTGAATTGGATGGCTGGATCAATTGAATTCATAATAGATAGAATCTCGGATAAATCCTCTTTATAACCGTCAAAAAGTGCGAAAGTGTCGTCAACATACCGAATCCAAAGACGAAAAGATAGTTTATCAAATAATTTCATCTCAAAATAGTGCATATAAATGTCAGCAAGTACAGGACTGAGAGGATTACCCAATAGCCAATCCTTCAACTTGACGAAAATATGCATTTTGGAAAGCCAAAGGGGTTTGACTTAGAGAAACTTTAGTAAGCGAAACCAAACTCATTAATTTCAGTATGTGTGAAGTGAAATTCCCGAAGCCTAGTTTCAAGACAATTTAGTGCTCCTTCGACCGAACATTAGTAAAAACAGAGATTTGACATCAAATGAAACCATAATGGGAAACGAAGTGGAGAGAATATTTTTAAGTTTATCAATGACTTCAACAGAATTTTTTTACAGTGTGAATATTGTTAGCAAGTAGAGGAGAAAATCTGGAAACTAAATATTTGGCCAAAGGATATGAAGCAGTACCTATGTTGGAAACAATTGGTCGAAAAGGAATACCGGTTTTGTGGACTTCTGGAAGAGCATAAAGCATGCTCTTCCAAAAGTCCACAAAATGTTTGTAGTACAAACCGATAAATTGCATTTAAAAATGCCAAGCAGTGAATACTGGCCGCAATGGGCGGAGAATACCCGCGGCAACAAGCAGACGAAAACTAAAATAGAGGAGGTAATCAGGCTTGTATTGAGAATTGTATCTTCGCATCATAATTTTAATAGTCTTCTCTTGAGAATTGTATCTTCGCATCATAATTTTAATAGTAATTCAAAATACTACAACAACTGAATATCAACAATAGGAAAATAGCTCACCTCATAGAATAATAACAGGACTGTAAGAGCAAAACTCTTGTAATGTAAGCATATTACTATCCAGTTTGTATGTACTTGATAAAAATAATATTGTAAAGCAGTTTAAATGATATTGAAAATCCAGTCAATGTGTAAATGAATTACAAGTTTAATTTTGATTATCTCAGTAAAAAGTATTGTAAATATGAATTCATATAATGTTTAAATGTACACATAGCTGTCATCATGATTTTATGTATCTATCATATGTAACTTGTACAAGACAATGATTGTAATCAACATATCTATGCTTATACACAGGCCTTGTATGCCCATGTAATATTTATATGTATTTTTTACACGGAGATTTTTAACACGAGAAAATTTTCCTTCTGCCAGGATGACTATTAACGCTGTAAGACTTTTACAACAAAGTCAGGTCAGTGGTTATCTCAGGCGGCGCTCAGTGCCTTTGATGTTGACTACTAAATACAATCCTTCAAATTTCGGATTAAATTTGGTTGTTTCATTTTTCTCTGCGGATAAGAGCGAGTGAATGGTTTTCAAAACTTTGTCTCTCAACTTTATATTCCCCTCCCTCAGCCTTTTTTCGTGATATACTATATGTGACTGCTCCTGGTCTTACTCGATATTTTAAGCGCCTCTTCGATTACACTTTTGATTGTCTTTGTGTTGAAACTCTGATTTTCTTTTCCTAAAACCCAGAAACCGTTGTTTGTGTTGTAATGGAAACTGGGTTAATGCATCTTTTGATCATTCGTCAAGATACTGCATTTCGAGAAATTATGCTGAGATCTCATTGCCCTTTTTATCAAGCTAATTCTAGGACTCAATGTTTTTAAGCAATTCAATCTGTCAAAAGAGATGTGAAGGCCAGTTTATGACAGGTATCAGAAAAGACAATTTCTCAGTGTTTTCAGGACTGACAGCAGAGCAAGTGCATGCATTCTGACGTATGCTTCTATTCTGAAGTGTGTATGTTATGTGACATCTTGGGGGTCTGTGTCACTCTAGGTGCGTTGGCGCCGATCCCTCCACTGTTCTAGGACAGGAGTTGAACACTTGGGTCTAGTTCAACGGGAGGTGAGGACCTATGGTGTGCTTAGTTCACGGGATGGGGAACGCCCAACATATCATAGTATATTTGTATAAAAGTTCAGTAGATTATAATGTTTTACATTTTAAACATACAAAGCTTTTCCACGAACATTTTGAAGACAGGAGTATTCAGTTTTGATGCTTAACATCATCTATGATTTTCAATGATTTCTTAAGGAAAAAAACTGTTTTCTGAAATTACTGTTTGTTTTTAAACCAGTGGTGGGTTTTTTTTTTCACGAACATTTTGAAGACAGGAGTATTCAATTTTGATGCTTAACATCATCTATGATTTTCAATGATTTCTTAAGGAAAAAAACAGTTTTCTGAAATTACTGTTTGTTTTTAAACCAGTGGTAGTTTTTAGGTTTTCATTCTGAAGGTTCCTAATCACAAATGCGGTAATATTTTCAGTTATCTAAGAGCAACATGTAATAAAAAGTTAAACTTTATGATAGCATGATAGCGTTAGGTATATTTATATACTTTAAAAGGAATGAGAAAAATATTTATTTCATTGATTTTATTTTTGTACAAATTTTATGTGAGCCTAGATAATAGTATCATATAATAAATACTTAAAGAAGAGCAAAAGCATTCTATTCTTCTGCGCATGTGTCAAGAACAATCACCTCCTGGAAAGAAATAATGAATAATGATTATAAAATTTCATACTGGAGTATTTACAAATTGACATTCAGTAAATTGTAGTCTGCCGCAAATTATTGTAAGGAAATATTTTTCTGTTAAAAAGGTTATCTGTAATTCTGGGAATATACGAAAGGGCATTATTAAAATTTTAATATTTGTCCAAAATTCTTTTGTTATTTTGAATTCAATAAATTATTGATTTGTCATAATATATAAATAAAGGACGAAAATAACTATGAGCAGTTCTTCTTTTAATTTTTTAAATGAATAAAATTAGTAGCTGAATTAAAAAAAGGAGGGATTGCAAGTAAAAGTAATATATATAAAAAAAAAGAGGGATTGCAAGTAAAAGTAATATATATATATATATATAAAGAATGGATTTCTAGTTATACTATACCTTGGAAAGAAAAGCACATTAATATCTAAAATTTGCTTAGCGAAAACAATATCTGACAAAAATATCCCGTGTTTAGAATAAGAGGCATAGATATCGATTTCAAAGTGTCTGAAACCGTTTATAGCCATTTAACAGTTTTTCGAAAGCTGTTGAATTTGTGAATACTTGCTAATAAATTAAGATGGAGACTCAAAACTAAAATTTTTTAGACCTTTCTGTTTTTACCCTGATGAAAAGCCTAGGTGAGATACTTAAATTAGTCCACTGTTCACAGTCAGTTCAACTCAATTTTTATGTGATTAATTTTAAGCGGTTACAAGTCAAAAGGAGTAATTATTATGGACTGTCTTTGGTTTAAATCTGTCTGCTTCCACAGCCTAATATTGACAGTAAGAACAGAAAAAGAAATAAGTGCGTGATGGAAATTAAAGAAAAACAATGAGGAGCCAGCATGATAGAACGTTTTCGAGTTTTTATGATTTGCATTTATATTTTTGGGTCTTGCTTGTATTTTTTTATGTTTTTAAAAACATGGACTACATTTAAAAGATAAAAGCAGAAATAAAAAGATTAAATTTAAAACACTTCTTTGTCTCTCAGTCATTAAATCATAATGCAATAATGTTAAACTTGCGTTTGAAAAAATAGATTGATAATAATGTTAGATGACTACTCGAAACTTGATACTGTGAATTGCAGATGTGAAAGCAATAGTAATAAAAATTTCCATCCAGATATTCCGAGAGCTCGCAGCGCAGCATCCTCACCTAATCCGATGTCTAGGCTGAAAATGTGGCATTAAACCACTTCCAGTCATTAAACAGTTTATTTATTTTCTGATACATACATCTTTGGTATTGGAGAACTTACCTGCAAATTTTTAGAATTAGTGGGTAATTTTAATTTACTACTTGCTGTCGCTTTGGTTTAATGTGGTCTACTTGTGTTCTGTGTACACTTTATAAAAATTAAGTTTTCCTTTCTATTCTAGTTTGCAAAGTACATAAATACAAAGAGCAATGAAAATACTCAGCGGTTAATAAATCAAAATATCATTACTACACAATTTGTTTCAGAAAAGAAATGTTCTGTCATTGCTTTCACTGATTCAAGCAGATTTCCCATTTCCCATTTTTACTTCCTTGTAAGAAGTAAAAAGGAAGTATTGTAATCGCGAAAAGTTTCAAGCAGCATATTTCAACGAAAATATCCATTTTGACCGCTTTCGAATGCAATTTAACGATGTTTTTGCTTGATATCTGTACGTAAGGACAGGCTGCCCCACCTTCAAGACATCAGAGTCAAGACAGCAAATATAGCTAAGAAAGCCAGACAATTCCAGGGAAAAAACTGGGGACAAAACCCTCACATCCAGAAACTGCTATATCTAACGGTAGCGGAGAGAATTGTTCTTTACGCATCGGCTATATGGGCGCAACCAATGAGCAGTCGCAAGATCAAACTCTTGACAACAATACAACGGCCATTTGCTCTAAACATAAGTAGGGCATATAGGACAACGGCATCAAGTGCAATAACGGTCCCTTGCGGGACTAACACCCCTGCACATAAAGGCCAGCATAGAAGCTGCATATGAGCGCCTAATTAGGCTAAAACAAGATGCCAACTTTGCTGGCACCGCCTTCCATGCAACACAGTATGAATTACCAGGGAGTGTGCAGTATGTGCACCCGGCACACAAAAGTAAAGGCATCCATGTCGTGACAGCACAACACCCAACGCCTCTCAGAGAAACTCCACATGTGAACTCACGATTCTACACCGATGGATCAAAGCATGACAATGGAGTGGGATGCGCCTTCGTTCACTTCAAAATGACGGAGTGGAAAGCAAATGGAAAGGCCATCTCGCTACTCCACAACACCACTTTCCAGGCAGGAAGCTGTGGCAATAGCAGCTGCAAGTTCAAGTATGCTCTGGGCATTAATCTAGCAGCAACCGAAATTCACACAAACAACACGTCAGTGCTACAGGCAATCATGAATCACCACCATACCTCACCCACAATTATAGCAATCCAACAGCTCTTGCGTAACAATCTGCAAAACACGCATCAGACTAATCTGGATGAAAGGACATATTGGCGTAGATGGTAACGAGATGGCCTACTAGTTAGCAAACGAGGCGGCACTCAACAACGACGCGCAAGAGGTGACAACTCCAATCCCGACTTCGTATTTAAGCGAAAGCTAGAGAACTAAGCAAAGAACAGTGGCAACAGGAGTGGGATACTGTGATACAGGAGAAGGACACATGGATTCTACCCAATAGTAGATAACGAACGTCCTCCAGGCCATTGCACCCTTGACAAACTATGTCACGGGGCATGGCTCCATTTCCCTCCTATTTTCAGAGACATGCAATTTCGATGACAGATATATGCGTCTGAGGAGCAACTGGCTCCGCCGACCACTAGATATTTGAATGCAGCCTTTACGTCCAACTTTCACCTAGCACTCCCAGCCACAAATGTAGAATCATATAAACGATTCATCATTAAGCACCCACCAGCGATCAAAAAGATCTGCGAAATAATTAAGGCAGGTCAGCGACCCTAGGGCAAGATATCTGCCAACCAAACTAGCGTCAATTAAGGCGTCTCATAAAGCAACCACAGTCAGCTTTTACTAGCAAATCATCAACAGAATTCTGACAGTCTCTTATACTGACAATCAGCTGGATGCAACTTACAATATGTTTAAATTATGTGCTGCGCTTATAACATAACTGCACTGCAACATAACTGCAGACATAGCTGCTTACTGCGTACAGTACTCACTTACGGCGTTATAGAGCAACTACTGACTATGAACAGACTGCTACCTGCATGTGTCTCTGTAGTAGTTACAACGACTGAAATATCTATAGAAGTATTTCCTGGAATACCACAGTTATTACAACAACTGCAAGTTATATATATCAGTGTATAAGGTACTGTGCGCAGAGTAATTGGAACGCCCTTGACAAATCGTGTACAGAACTCATCAACAGTGTACAGAGCTCAACACTGACTAATCACAGATTACTACTTGCATGTCCATGCTAGTCCATGCTTAACTGAACAGTGTAAACAAATGTGTATCCGACTTTGCATTGTGTACCATTCTGTAAGCATTGTGTATTAACAAGCATCATGTATCTATTACAATACTAGTTATGCACTGTGTATTCTACAACATAGTGTTTCTCCTACAGTCATTGCCAGTACTGTATTACACAAACGCGTTATACAAATCTGCAATAAATATGCACCTCATTCTGCACTGAATTTGTCAAATTCTGGCACAGTATCTGCTGTATATAAAGCATATAATTACTATGCAACTATCTACATTGCATATGCACTACCTGCCAATACCTTACAACCTGTTGTGTATCTGACTTGCACTGTGCATTTGTTCTGTGAGCAATGTGTATATAAAAAGTACGTGTACCTACTTTAATCCAATAAACACTGGCATCTAATTATAATAAATAAGCTCAGCGCATTCTATAACATAGTGTCTCCACTACAGTTATTGCCTGCACATCATATCTGTATTACTCAAACTATCTGTATTATATCTGCACTGTATATGGACATATGCATAATGTATAATTCATCTATATCTATCAATATTGTATCTGCATTACCTGTATAATCTCACAGCTTCGCATAGAAATATATAGCTTGGCAACATAGCATGCATGGTGCTGCGTACTATAATGTGTGTATACAATAGTATAGATTTTTTTTTCATGTGTAAGTATAATTGTGTTTATAGAAATTGTGCACAATTGGTTATATACCATAGTATAGTGTTTTATTCTGCGTTTTAATACGTTAGTATAATTGTGTTTGCATAATTGTACACCATAACTGGTGTTGTATATAGTAGTATAGTGTCTTATTTTCGTTTGTACAATTGTGCGCAGTATAAATTCTAATATCTAATGCTTTACAAGCATAGTGTATCTGTTTTTACATTGTGTATCAATTCTGTAAGCATTATGTATATAAAAAGCGCTGCATATCTATTCAAATTAAATAAGTATTGTGTACCTGATATAACGTATTGCATAATGTATTCTCCAGAGTAAAGTTTCATCTGTAATTACTATATCATCTAATAAACAAAATTTAATATTCTACAGTGTGCCTGCATGCTTTATGTATGTTTTTTATGCGCATTTTACATGTGATATGTGATCTACATGTGTCTTTAAATGTGTAAGCGTATACTATGTATATTAGCTTAATTATGCTTCATTATAAGTATATGTTTTCCTTGTATAAGTGTGTGCAAACTAATATCTAATTTCTATTATTCTATAATGAGCTTACAATGTTTTATATGTGCTATATATGTGCTTTTATATGTGTTTTACACGTGTTTTGTATGTGTCTTTATATGTGCAATTGTATGTACTTGTAAGTGTATGTATATGCTGTAATTAGTGTCTAACAGTGTCTAAAACCAAGATGTACCAAGTCATTCGCCTATCGATCAAAACTAATGTATTCTTAAGACGAAATCGTCATGCGATGATTTGTAGATTATGTATGAACATGCACAATTACGCAAAATTCTTCAATAAACTTCCAAGGTAGGCCTCATGAAGCTCCTGGGAATTGCTGCCATTAGATAGGGCAGGGGACGGGACGGGACATATGCCTGTTCACGTCTGTTAAACATCAGGCGTCCCCGTCCTCCGTCACCTGTCACCTGTACGTAAGGACAGAATAAAAGACTTTTTTCCTCCAAAAAATTATAAAACTGCTTTAAAATGAATTCTGAAGAGAATTTTTCGTGGCGTCTGTACGAACGTATGTACGTACGTACGTATCTCGGATAACTCCAAAACCAGTAGCCTCAGAAAGTTGAAATTTTGTATATAGGACTACTATAACATGTAACTGTGCACCTCGTATTTTGGTTGCAATCGGCCGCGCCAAACGTATATAAATATATTTATTACGTCTGTTACCCGGATCAGTGATCTCAGTTTCTTTACTCTTATAGGTTTGTAAATTGTACATTTTTTGCTTTAAAAATGATTGAATTATGTGGTTCTTATCTTCCGGTTAAGGTTTTTATGCCTTTAGTAAATCTGTATGCAATATTTCTAGAATTATCAACAATTTTAAAGTTGTTTAAGTGCCGCTAAGCCTAATAATTTTTGTGATGACGGCCATTGCTTGTTTACATTTGAAATAGCAGAGTAGTGGATTTGTTGCTAATCTAGAGAAATGTAGCTTCGCAACAACAAAAATAACTCCTTCATTTATTATTGCGAATTAAATCATGCTTAATCCTTTCTGGAATTTTTTCGAGGAAATATGTGTTTAAGATTTACTTCGTAATTTTTAATACAGATATTTTTGAGTTTTTATGTATTTTTGTTGTCCTTGTGAAGTAAGAAATAATGAATTAAGAATGATTGATGAGAAATACTCAATCGTCTGTGAAAAAACTGTTTCTTTTTTGTTTTGTTTGCTTAATTTCTTTTATACATCGTTTTAGCTTTATTATAGTATTTGAATAGAACATGTGGCAACGATTAGATAATTCTTTAAATGATATAAATTTTGTGCATTCTGAGTTGTAGTATGAACTAAATATAATACTGTTAAGTGAACCTAGCGCCAGAGTGTCGCTATGGTAAACAAATAGAGTGAATTTTAAAGAATGCATTTATTCTATTGTGGTTTATGCGCTGTCGGCGAAGTAGATTTAATTCAATCCAGTAAGTTTAAACGAAATGCAAGAAAAAATGCGTATAATTTAATATTCCGTACATGGAAGTCATGTGGTGTACACATCAGATTTTTCAGTTTATCAATAAACTGTCAGGTTGACACAATGCTGGATGGGCAATACTATTGCCTCCAATGGGAATCGCATATCATCATCTGCATAGGGCTATATTTTTAATCCGTTTTCATTTATACAGAAAGCAGTTTAATTATTGAATTATTTTGAAGCATTTTTCATAAATTAATCTCACCAATGACTGAACTCTGAAATGGCTGATCGCTGATAGCTAGACCCGGGTTCAAATTTCGGTGAAATGGCTGGCTGCGTTTGAGTTTTCCTGTTTATTTTTTTGCGCAGGTAACATGAATATGAGTGCCTTTTAAAGAAACATTTACAAATTGATCTCTTTCTTTAGGCAGTGGGCCCTAAATGCTTTGCCATAATATAAGTAACCCATTTGTCTCAGTTTCAGCCAAAGCAACCGAATAAGATATGCCAAAAAGCTACATCATCGCTCTTTTGGGATTAATGCTAGAGGCTTAGGGAGTAATAAAATCAATATTCTTCAAGGTTGAGAAAATTTGAGACATTATTTGGAGTGGACGTGATGATTTGCTCAAGATTTCTATGTGGAAATTTATCGATAAAGGTAACAATGGCTATTAAAAGCAAAGCTATTTGATCCTGGGAATGATATTAGTTGACCTTTCCTTTCGGAAGGACGTTTGCGATAATTTGGCCTGTTATATGACGAATTATTTATAAACATTACTTATATTTATATAAATAATACATACATGGGTTTCGTTCCTTTTCCTCTCCGACATGCAATTCAGACCTGCTGCACAGGGGCAACTAAATCTGTAAATGCCATTAATGTTTAATTCCTCAATGTTGTCCAAGCAAAATTCCCCTACCAAAAAAAGAAATGTTAGACATGTATAATAAAAATTTTCTCATAGATGGAGAAGATGGTGCCGATGATGACGTTTTCTTGAATAACAGGACAACTCTTGGTCTTGCAGAGATAATTTTATTTAAGTATAATTTATAATATAATAAAAAACAATAAATAATTGAAATGCTATAGATGCAAATAGATTTTACATATTCGTAAAAATATAATTAATGGTAGGACACAAGTTCGACGTTAGCAGCGCAGAGAAGCCTGTGAAATGAGTAAAGATTACAATGTGGATTCCGAATTAAGAATAGAGAAGTTATAATTTGCTTTATTTCCGTTGAATAATTAAAAATCCTTTCTTGCAAATTTATCATCATTATTGGGAATATTTCTCTTACGCATTTGCCTTTATGTAAGTGCACGTGCCATTAGCCTTATATAAGAATCATATGACAGGGATTAATACTTCCTTGTACGAAATGAAGAAAGTATTGTAATCACGAAAAATTCCAGGTACCATATTTCAGCGAAAATATTCATTTTGACTGCTATCGAATGCAATTTAACGATGTTTTTGCGTGACACCTGTACGTATGGACAGAATAAAGGACTCATTTCCCCCCAAAAAAATTATAAAACTGATTTATAATGGATTCAAAAGAGATTTTTTCGTGGCATCTATACCGTATGTACGTACATACATACGTGCGTATGTATGAACGTATCTTGCGTAACTCAAAAACGAGTAGCCTCAGAACGTTGATATTTTATATACAGGACAGCTATAGGGTGTAGTTGTGCAACTCCCTTTTTGGTGGCAAACGGCCGCATCAAAAGTAAATAAATATTATATATACTATAAGGCATTTCTCCAGCTTTCCTTGCGTGCCTTCGTGGTGTAGTGGTTCTGCACATTGGGCCGGTATTTCAGAGGTCCGTGGTTCGATTCCCGGCGAAGGCGTTGCTAATTTTTCATCTTGCTTGCTTCCCCCCCCCCCCCCGAAAAAAAATCCTCATGTCTCTACAATACATATACCCACTCTTATATTCGGCTCCGGGAGCTCAGTTTTTTTATGCTCATATTTTGGTAGATTATGCATTTTTTAGCTTTAAAAATGATTGAATTGTTCTTATCTTCCGGTTAAGGTTCTCATGCCTTTAGTTAATCTGCATACAAAACTTGTAGAATTATCAACAATTTAAGAGTTCTTTAAGTGCGGCTAAGCCTAATTTTTTTACCATAGCAGCCATATTTGTTTACATTTGCAACTTAGCAGAACAGAAGACTTTTTGCCAATCTAAAGAAACTAAGCCTAGCAACAATAACTGTTTCTTTTTTATTTGTCTAATTTAAGTGTGGCTAAGCCTAATTTTTTTACCATAGCAGCCATATTTGTTTACACCTGCAACTTAGCAGAGCAGTACACTTGTTGCCAATTTAAAGAAACTAAGCTTAGCAACAACAACTGTTTCTTTTTTATTCGTCTAATTTCTTTTATACATCGTTTTAGATTTATTATAGTATTTGAATAGAACATGGGGCAATGATTGGATATTTCTTGAGATGATATAATTTGTGCTCACTCTGAGTTATAAAATGAATGAGATGTAACGCTGTTAAGTGGCTATGGTAAATCAGTGTAGTGAATTTTAAAAAGTGCATCTATTCTATTGTGGTTTATCCTCTATCGGCGAAGTAGATTTAATTCAATTCAATAAGTTTAAATGGAATGCAGGCAAAATGGGATAATTTAGTATTTCGTGCAAGAGAAGTCATGTGGTTTACATATGAGATGATTTTTTTAAAATAACGTATCTCAGAAAGGTTTTCATAAGCACGTTACCGTTTTTAGAAAATTGTGGCTAGTTGTTATATCTTTTGCTTAATACTCGAATTTTTCACTTGTTGCTAACTGTCATAGTAGAGGAAAGGAGAGTTCTGAGCCAGGGAGCTCGGGAGCGGGAGTTGAGGGAGCTCCCGAGAAAGAATGGTTAGCCGTGGAAGGGAGGCTTATCTGAAAATGGGGGCAGGGCGAGCCTTATCAGGAGGTGGATGGGAGTAGAGTAGTTGCTACGTCACAGAAAAAGGACGGTTTTATTAATTTGGAGATTTAGACATTTATTTGCATGCGATCACTTGTGAACTTACTTACTTATATTGAGTTCTTAAAAACATTTATCAAATACGTGTCTGATTTCCTTTAAACAGAAATTACTATATAATAAAATGTTTCCTCCACAGTGTAACCTCTTTGGAAGATAATTATTTTTTTACTTGTATTTATCCTATGACTGAATATCCACAAAACTGCTACATGTCGTCACAATTTAATAAGAGATTATATTTTACTGATTTACCGGAGGTGATTTCCTTCGTTAATAAATCTTTAGCATTTGTGTTTTTTCTCCGTATTCCAACTGTTTTACTATGCATATGATGATTATTTCCTAGGTACTCTGAACGATGATTATTTTCAAATTTAATGATTGAGTGATTCTATACACTCAGAATTTTACCTTATTTCTTGAATCTTCTGTTTATAGTACTACATTTACTTTCCATAATCTTAATTATATTACTCATTTTTATTATTAAATTTATTTTACTCAGAGTTTTTCATACCTATTAACCAATCCTTTTAACTTATTTGTTATATTTTGCGTCCGTAATTGCTAAAATAAACGTTTTTATGTGTTAAATTATTCAATGCTAGATGTAATTTTTATCTTTTTTTATGCTTTTTAATGTCTGTGATCTTCAACATATTCTGTATTTTAACTTATTTCTTATGTTTTCGGATCACATAGATGAACTTTACTTAATTTTAGATGTAAACGTTTAGCTTGTTTTGTATATTTTAACCTTCATTATATTTAATATATTCTAATTTTTAACGAATTTATATTTTTCCTATATACATGACTTTTATTTGATGTCTTTAATACATTTTAACCTTCAAAATTTCCAATATAGTCATAATTTTAACATAATTCCTATATTTTCAGGTCATATACTTTTATTTAATTTTAGGTGTAAATTTTAATTTCTTTTCTATATATTTTACGTTTTTTGCTTCCAACATACTCTGAATTTAAACTAATTTGCTATATATTCACACTATGTACATGACTTTAATTTAATTTATAATTAGCAAATTAGCTACTTTCATTTGTTTTAACTTTCGTAATTTCAAATATACTTTTAATTTTAGTTTAATTCCTATATTTTCTGACCATATATATGAATTTTGTTTAATTTTAGATGTAATTTTTAACTTGTTTCGTACATTTTAAACCTTCGTAATTTTTAAAGTACTCTAATTTTGAACTTGTTTATTACATTTTCCTACCATACACCTGACTTATTTAATTCTAGATGTAAATTTTAACACATTTTCTATTTATTATCGTTTTTAGTTTCCAACATAGTAAGAATTTTAACTAATTTGTTATATTTTCACATGACTTTCATACGTTTTAACCTTCCTAATTTCAAACAGGATCTTAATTTTAGCTTAATTCCTCTATCTTCGTATTATATATATGAACTTTATTTAATTTTAGATGCTATTTTTAACTTATTTCGTACATTTTATACCTTCGTAATTTTTAAAGTTCTCTGAATTTTGAACTTGTTTGTTACATTTTGCTACTATACGCATGAACTTTAGTTAATTTTAGATGTAGTTTTTATACTTTTCTGGCACTGGTTTCCTTTCTAGTTTTCAACATACTATAAAGTTTAACTCTGTTTTATAATTTTTGATTGTAATTGCGCTTTTGATTTTACTATTTCAGTTAAATTAACATGCTTAAATTTCTTAAACATAGAGACAGATTTAAATTAAGCATTTTATTTTACAACCTTTAACTGCTATTCATATCCAATTCGTTGAATAGCCCTTACTTAGTCCATATTTTATAGTACTATTTTACTTTGCCAATTCTACAATTTATCATTCTTTAGTACTCTTACCATGACTTATCCTACTATTTTACTTCATTATTAACTTCATTTGCATTTTCAAACTTTAACATTTCCTGCATATTCTGGTATTTCCTTTTAATTCTTAATACCCTTTGTATCTGAATATATGTTTTTGAGCTCTTCAATGTTACCAACGTTCACGTTTTAAATCTTGATTCTCATTAAACTAGTTTGATAGATTCCGAATTTTTAGAATGAAATCTCAACTTTCATCCATAATTTTAGAACCATATTCATTCTTTCATGTACTCATACAAAATTCTTTCTTATTATTTTGAACACTCAGTACCTTTTAATTCAGTAATTTGTACTAATTGAATGCATTCTACATCACTTTAAATGTCTCGACTATGCAAATTTTCACTTTATTACCTTTTCCTACACTAAGTATGGATATTTCTGCCTTCATGAACGATTTTCATGTGAAATTGATGAAATTTGACGTTACATGTATAAAAGAAATTTCTAAGATAAACATTTCCAGTATTGAATCAGAGATAAATGACCATGGATTTTACCCATTGGTTACCATTTTATCTCTTGAAAGTTTGTTTTATTGATATACATTTATTTCTAACGCATAGTGTTAACACATTTTTTTAACTTAGTACAATTCCAACTTAATTCACTAGACAATTTCATATCTAGTCTATTTTTTAATTTCTTAGACTAAAATATTCTTTCGCAAATGTCAGTTTGCATTAATTTATTTACCAATTTATTTTCTTATGAATGAAATCTTGTGAAGTACTTTACACAACATATATCATTACCAATATACCTATATTTACAGAAGGAATCAAAGAGTAAGAGACATTTTACCCAAATCTCCACTATAATTTCGAATATTTTAACCTTCTTTATCACAAATACAGAACTTTCTTCGTACAATACTCAGCATTTAAATATTCCTTACTAATACACATTTAATGAGGAATAACCCCTTTTCAATACAAAATTACACCCAAATAAGTGTTACGTTTTCTTATAATTGTACATATATGCATGCATTATAGGAACTTTCTATCGATTCTCGAGAACTGTATTTGCTAAATATTACCTTTTTCTAAGAGAAAAACTCCAAAGACCATCTAAATCATTCAACTTCCTGCAGTATTCCCACAGTACAGAATACCTATCTTAGAACTATTTTCTTAATATTTAGAACTAAATATGAAATAAACATTTAAGAAGTAAGAGTAAGGTAATGAACCAACGTTTTTAGAAATTTTCCTTTATTTTCTAAATTCTACCCTTTTGTAGGAACTTAGAAAATTCAATGATACTCATATTTTATTTTTATGTAGGCATGCGCATTTCTCCTAACGGACGAAAATCAGAATGTCTCACTTTTCCAAAGATTTAGCTTTAGCTTTACTTTCATCGAAAAAGGAAAATAATTTTACTTAAAAAACAGGATATCCTCTACTAAAAGACCTTGAAACAATCACGATCGCACGTCTATATGTGGCACTCAGTGATTTAATTTCAAACCAAATTTTGATATTGTTTAATCATGCAAGCAACAATTTTCATCGTCGAGTTAAATTTTATACGACTGCAACAGATTTTTCAATGGTTTTTAATGCTCACATTGTGTAAAAGACTTCTAGTTTTGACTGTTTTAATTTATAATATTGAGAAATACATTTATTATTTTCAGAAAACGTCATTTCCTAATCATATTTTACCACTCTGAAACTTTTGAATAACACTTTCTACCATAATAAGAACCAGATATTACACTATTTTTTACAAAAAGCATGAAATTGTTTTCCTAATTCCTCTTCTAGAGATACTAACAAATTCTGTTATAGAAAGAAGATTCAATTCCTATTATAACTCTATACACTATTTGAAAAGAGAAAAGACACTCTAGATGATAACATAACATCATATCACCCATATATTTTTAAAAATTTAGAACAAGTTCAGTAAGGCAAATTACCTACAGAGTTTTCAAATACGGATATATTTCTGAAAGAAACTGCCTAACATACCGCTCATTTACTTATAAATCATTTAAATAAAACCAACAAATTAATAAAATATTTGAATTTTCGATAAAGTTTAGTACATCTATACAGTTATTTAATTCATGAAGTACCAAATTTTGAAAATAATAAGAGTAAAAACATCACTATTTCAAAATTTAGGAAGGGATTTTCAATAATGAGAGTGAACATATACCGAACTTCATGCAAGACTTTATCGTTTCGTACCACACATTTCACTATTTCGTAGATTCTAAGAACATAGCCCAATCTTTTTTAAAGAATATATATCATTTCACATTAATTAGAGAGTGCCATACGAGTTTAATTGCAGGTGCTTACTGAATGACACTCAAAATTTCAAGGAAAAAGATCAAATATTTTTCATCTTTAATGAAAATTTGTGAATAACAATGATATTTCATAAGAGTTAGAAGACTTAGTGCAATGAAACAGTATCAAAAATAGAAAACTATTTTCGAAATCTGAATTCCCATTGAAAATTTTTGATATTCTTATGTAAAATTATATCCGAAGTTATATCACTTCAATCGAACTTGAAGACCAACCAGATTTATTACATGATTTGATACATTTCTGGTATTTGTTAAAAAATAGAAGTTTATATTTTTCATACGCAAACTATTACAACGAATTAATGACATTTTATACCCATATTACTTACCATTTTTTACTGCACAAAACTATTTTAAGTTCCATATTCGAAGCTCAGCAAATTTCACATAATACTACAATTACATAGTGCAAATTATAAAAAAAGCTGGATAATCTATATTGCATACAGAACATAGACTACAATTCTCAAGGATCTACTTAAAGAATACATTAAACTGTTCAAAAAATTAATCGCATTTTATATAATTCTTAGCATATTTCATATATTAAACTCATTTCACGCTTTTAGAAATGTAGCATCACGTTTTCCAAGACAATAGCCAATACATCCAACCTTATGAAAATGAATCATCTAAAATAAGAAGGGGTAGTTTTGTTATCTTAAATCGGTAAACAAGTGATTAGGAAGTGAGGCCCTGTTAAACAAGGATATGTTACATATCCTAGTAGTGGTAGTTTAACAGGCTGTCGCTTTAACTTTTGCCTCTCTACTCAGATAACAAAAAGAAGCAAATTTTATAGACCAATTAATTTCATTTGCAAATTTTATTCTACACTAACAATGTCTTAACCACTTCAATGTCCAGCAAAACTCAAATATTCGCTTTTTTTTCTCTCTAAAGATAAAATGTTTACCTCTGAAACTGGCCTTAGAAATGCGTCTTGTCCCCTTTCAGCAGTTGTCAAAACCTATTTAGAAGATCTCGTACTTGTCATATTCAAGCATGTTGAATGGCATCGTTTTACCCAAGAGAGAAAAATTTATTTTCTGATTTCTAATCCTTTATCTTAAATTTAACAAACACGATACCTTAAAGGAACGCTTTGAAATAAGTAGTAGTTTGTCTTTTTATTTTTTAAAATGTGTTTATTTTTATTCTGTAATTATGAATTGTCAAAGTTTAAGTTTATGAAATTCTCGCACGCTGAGAAATTTGCAAAGAATCCTGAGAAAGGAAAACAGCATATTTAATATAAATGGTCAAAGTTTCTAATCTTATACAATACCTTGAGAAATTTGCGAGGTATCTCGAAAGGAAAAGAACCGCATATTTGAAAAACCTAGTTGATTACAAACGAAAATTTTTTTTAATGAATTTCTTTATTTAGGGCTAAATTTACCATTTATATCGTACTCTGCCACCCTGATCGGGTTTCGTGGTTAGCGATGTTGGCTGCTGTTTCGAATCCAGGAGCAGGTATGGATATTTGTTTATTGTTCTGTGCGGCAGGAAGCACTTAAAATACTGACGAGTCCGAAGTCCTATCGAGTAGTTTGGTGGTAGGGAAAGAGGGATGAGAGACTTTGTACCGGACCGTTATAGCGTTTCATTGAAAAATGGGGTGATATTGCATAATTAGTGCTGTACGACCAATGTACAAGTTCTAGTGCCCCACCTACTTCTACCTGAACCTGATAACGTAGTTATACTGACCTTGTTTAGTTGGATAATAAAAGAAAATCAAGAAACATTTGCCTAAATTCTGGAATAAGGATTGAGATTATCCAAATGACATTATCTTCCTTGAAGTTATGATTGTATAAAGAACAAGAGAATCACCTGGAAAGTATGCTCCCATCTTTTATAAAGAATACTAAAAAGGATTTTCAGAATTATTGACCACATTAATAGAGCCCATCCCTGCTATTAATTTATGATGTTACCACTCGAAATGCTCTCTCATATATTTATGTCTTTAATAACTTTGTAAGTTTAATATTAAGTTCTAAAGATGAGGAAAATTTCGTTTCATAGAAATTTAAAGGATTTAGCTTTGACATTTTAAATTTGTTCTCTGATGACCTTTTGTAACTTTCTTTGAAACCGAAATTTTATCTAATAAAAGTTCGTTTAAAATACTTTGCTTTCTTCTTTGTCATTTGAAAATTAATTATAAATTACAATATGTTGGCAATTATACTGCTGGAAAACATGTAAGAAACTAAGACAATCCCTCAGTATGTTCTGGTTATGTGTTGGTCAGCACGTAGTACTTTAAACCATACTTGGTTTTAATTCCGAATGAGATTCATAATTCAGATAGCAGTTACTTTGCAAGCAAGATATTTAGAAGATCCTCATCCTTATTCATTATTACCTGCCCAATAAATGTAATCCATTTCCTTTCAACAAATTTTTCCTTCAACACGTTAATTAGTTTCACAACTTGGTAAACTGTGTTGAAAGAAATTTTATGTCACCTTTCTGCCTCAATTTCTTGCATGCTGGGTTTCACAAAATCCCTTTGCTGCAACACTCATCACTTGCACAATCTTCACTCGAGCTACATGGCTGAGACACCTAAATGAAGGAGAGAAATATACTTTACATAGGCTGCATCTTTAAGGTATTTTCAAATTCCCTACTTATAAGATTACACCAGCTTTCAAACATTTTTCATTGTTAAAATGTATGCTTTCCTCGTTCAATGATTATAATTACTTATATGACAAGATTTTTTTACATTTAAAGCTTATACAGTTGAAGAATGATTTAAACCTCGAAAAACTAACAAGCTTTTATTCGAAACGTATATAATGTATCATATTAAAATCTGAAACATTTGAGCGCAACTTGGAAAAAATTTTTTTCTTGTAGTCTTCTCTCGTAGTCAGAAATATGTATTCTACTATAAGAGAAGACTACAAGATGATTTAATGCTATGATGATGCCGTGATGATTTAATGCTATGTTTGAGTAATAATGTTATGCAAGATCCACTTTTCGAAAGTGATGGCCGTTCTGTATTATTTAGATCTCATTTGAATCAAAACTAGCCTTGGAATGTTCTCTAACCCAACAGTTTGAAAAAGAAGTTGATTTTTATTAAAAAATAGATACTGTTATTGAAGTAAACGTTTTTATAACAAGCCGGTTACAAATCTGCTATTAAAATTAATTATTAAAGCACCATATAGCATAACACCCATATTAAAAAAAAATACTAGTAACTGTGAGCAAAATTATTATCATTGTGAGAATGAAGGATGAAGCACTAAATTAAAAGCTGTCATTCAACTTGGAGAGCAAGCAACATTTCAACATGTTATCCAGAATAAGTTTTAAAAAAAGTGTGCTTTATAATATCAATGAAATTCCACTAAATCTACATGTTAAGTTGTAAATATAAAAGGGGATAATGAAAACCTAGAGCATTATTTCCAGATATATATTCTGAAGAACAGCAGTATAACTTCTGTATATTGTAACATTAGTGATATTTATTGCATGTAAGTTTTACTATATACTGTTTGTTTAAATAAATGGAATAGATGAGAAAAGAATAACCTTTAGATCATAAAACAATTGCCTGTACTAAAAATTTAGAGAAAAATTGAAAACGTGGAACTTTAATGGACAACAGAAATTACTTACTTCAGTTTCATTTTAAACAGGTGTTTTAATAGATTGTTTGTTAATTCTACTAATAAATACTAATACTAGATAAATACTAGATAGATTCTAAGATTCTAGTAAAAGTGGGTGCTGGGCTTTGATTGTCTATACCGTGATGATTTAATGCTATGTTTGATTTCAGTAACGTGATATCTAATGCCAAGTAAAGTATAAGAATGTAGTCACTGAAGATGTTGAAATCAAGACTTAAAAGCTTTCTTACTAAACTAAAGACAGTGACCTTTGGGCCCGGAGTGCATAAGCATATGCCCTGGACAAGTGGTCAACTTGTCCCCCGGTGTATAGTACCAAGCAAACTCAGTACTCATTTTATCGACCCACTTAAGGGATAAAAGGCTGAGTCTACCTTGCCGAGCCCGAGGTTCGAACCCTGGATCAGTGGTGCAGCTGCACGACGCGTTAGTCACTTCCCCACCGGGCGGGCGGTCAAAAGCTTGTTTATTATCGAAAAGAATTTAATCTGTTAGGTTAATTTAAAGCAGGAGACGTGAAAATTGCTCATTGTCCTCGACGGGACTTGAACCCCGGACCTCTCGAATAAGCTTTCATTTATACCACGAAGGCACGTGGAAAGAAGAGCGAAAGTACCTTATGAGGTATTATAAACTAAGAATGGGCTATACGATGAAACATCTTTCATCAAAAGGGTTTTAAAATAAAATAATTATTTTATTTATCTGTTTTTGAAATTTTGTCATTCTTCCTTCCACCTTTTCATTAGAAATCTGTCGGATCACTTGCAACAGATAGCTTTCTCTGTCATGAATATTCACCTACCATCGTTCACAAAGAATGTTGAGAAGTGCATATCTAAGATTTTCTGAAAACTAAAGTAAAAATCAGATTTGTATATTCGCTGAAGAGAGAATGAAATTGAGCACATGAATTCTTTACATTAGTAATTAAGAATCTGAAAGTTATACCTTAAAATAAAGAAAGAACGTGAAGAGTAAAAGAGAAGGATTTATATATTAAAACAACGATTTAAGTTCTTGAGAACAGAATAAGTGATCTTTATCTGTATGTTTGGAATAATGTATAACGAGAACCAGCTACTGCAACGCTGTAAATTAAAATTTACTGTTAAAGCATATAAAAAAAAAGCATCTCAAAGCTTTCAGATTTTATATTACACCCAAAGGGCCGTAGTGAAACGGACATTTATAATAAACAGACGGAATATGCCGCCTTGAGATTAATAGCCTTTCCGGGCTAACTAGCATTTGGGCTAATAACTTAAATTGTATCGAATTTGTTAGAAGTTTCACAATTTTTCACTTTATAAATAATATAATTATTTATCTAGCATCCATCATTACGTGTTTTTTGAATGGTTAGAAAATCATTAAAGCATTATGTTTTGTAGAGTTCAAAATTAGTTCTTAATTCTCATTTGCTACTATGAATATAAACTTGTATACAAACTCCAGTGCAATGAAGACGTACAGTTACTGAACATTTCAGAGCTCTGTTTTATCACAATATCGAAAATTTCTTCTTCGCTTCTCAAATATATATTAAAGGCTAAGCTAATTTAATTCTTATTTCAAATTATTGTAACTAGATAATACTTACAGCAACACCCATGCAGAAAAAGAACACCACTAAGATGATTGTTCTCATTTTGACAACAAATGGTGCCTTTTACCTGTTACATTTTGCGTATATATATAAAACGTCTTGGGAGATTCCACAGTTATTGTATGTGATTCCCCATGAATAAAATGATAATGGAGTGACCTACTAGGGATCTTGATACTAACCTTTCTTTATGCTTTAGTGTTTTTTAATGTGAATGTATTCAGTTCATAGGTTAAAAACTTAAGTAAACAAGTAGCGTACATAAAAAATCACTCTCACCGCT